GCGGCAACTCCGGCGCCTACTGTGGCAACATTAAATGCAGCCCCTATGAGAAATGCGAAATGGATCGCTCGACAAAACGTCAAAAATGTGTCAGAACTTAAGCAGCACAGCGAGTCACGTATTCCTACGTAGCTTTCTAGCATACAACATACCATATTTTTTTCATTTACAATCAATTTTTTGTACATACATACACACAAGCATGMATTTTTGAATAAATATGTATTGACACTTACAACGGGAGCCGCTACGGCGATTTGTACTAAGAGACAGGCRACCAAAATAAATTTCAACATTTTGAATTTCGAATGTTTTTCTACTTTCACACAAAACTTTTTTGTTACAAAATGCACTTATTTGTTTATTTTTTATTATTGATTTGTACGTTTGGCTGCGACGCGWGTTTACAGACTAACCACTGGCTGCAGTCATCTTAAGCTTTTATAGTCAAGTATGACATGTTACGTACCTTTATATATACATACATACATATGTGGTATATATGCATGGTATGTTTACATATTTATGTGGCGCACACACCTCAGCATCTCCACATTCAAGGGCCATGCCAAATGTTTGTTGGTTATGTATAGCAGATTGCCAGATTGCTGTTGTCGCTAGTAGCCAAAGTGACGTGGAGCGGTTTTTGGGATCTGGATACAAACACTACGGTCGTGTACCGTGTAGTTGTTGTTGTGTGATGAGCAACTACTGCTGTGGGCAGCTTGCCGGTCGTCAGGCTAGTATTTTCTTAGCGCAATTTGTGGTGATGATATTTCCGTGTGTGTGTTAGTATGCGTCTACGCGAATTAAGCTCTTCTGTAACCTGTGTTGTCTTTCCAGACTAACCTACTTTTAAGGTATTTTTTTCTCTTTTCTTGCTGCTTCTACTTAGCACCTTTCTGTCTTTAAACTTTGACTGATATATGTATAACGATATTACGCAACGTCATATCACATACATTTTATACACAAGTTTAATTGCTTAAGTTATACCCGTTATAAGCGTTAAATTGCTGATGTCAACACAATATACTMTACCTTTGACCACGTTAAAACGGAAATTATTTACCGTACATTAACGACACCGCCGAAATGTTTTCGAAAATTATATAAAATACGCTTACGGTTAATGACAGTGTCAAAATGTTAGAACTAATTTGTTGTTGTTTCTTTTCTTTTCTTTTCTTTTCTTTTCTTTTTTTAAGTATATTTTTGTATACGTAGTTCATATGTGTTGGTAAAATAACACGTTTTAGGTTAGAACACAAGCAGCTAGATATTTTTAATATTTATATATGTTTAGTAAATAAGGAATGTTAGTATAAATTACTCATTTAAGTGTAAAATTATGCAAATAATCACCTTACTAATTATGAAAGTATTTTAAGAACTTTTATTGCATGTTTAAAAAAAAATTAAAAAGAAGGTTAAAAATTTCAAAAATTCATTCTCACCTTACGCCAAATTTCCGCTGTTATTTTTGGAGCGTTAAAAATATATATTCTAGTTTTTTTATTTCTTACACACATGTCTATTTTTGTGAGGTTATATAAGAAAGAGTGCATAAATTAAAAAATTGGAATACAAAACACGACGCACACAATAATATACATACSTAAGTTTGGGAGTGGTGATGAAGATTGCACACTCTTTTGTTTGTAATACTTTTGAAATTGGTTGTCGCAGCTTTCAAAACACGCACACACATAACCACATGAACACTTGTTCCTAATTTTGACACCAGCTTAAGTCTGCGTTTCGTAAGTCAATGTTAGTGATTAGTACAAAAAAAAAGCAAAATTTTGTCATTTACGYGCAGGCGTGTTTGTATGTATCACTTGTTCATTCACTTTAATCATATCTTTTATTATTAATATTGAAAAAGGTTGTGCAATTTTTCAAATTCGTATATCAAGCAAATGCCCGTTAGCTTTAAAATTAGCATATAAAGACGTACAAATATGTGCTCATAAAGACATAAACTTTCCTCAAGGTCGAGATTAATCGGGCTGCATGCATATGTGAATGTGTAAGCGAGTGTTTGCTATTTCATCAACGCAGCTAAACCATTCCTGCTTTTAGTTGACCCAACTCTGCAGGTGGTTTTTTATACCTGTATGGTTGTGTAGATATATGTATGTACATATATATTTGTAGGACTATGTGTGCCATCGTATTAATTTAAAACACACATACTTATATGCATATAGTTTGTGCATCTTCATTTTACTGATTTGTTGTCGCTCGAGTTGTATTAAGAAGAAGAGTAATAAACAAATTAAATTTCAACAAGTGATGGCTCAATGATTGCCGGTTTTACCGGCTTTAAAGCACCGTATGTAGTCTGTGCTGGTTTTTTGCTTTTACTACAAAAAATGTAAGGTTACAAATCTTAAAAAATTATGTGCATAAATCAGTTGGAACAAGGAAATGCTTATGCGATTGCATTGGTATATAAGTCTAAATGTGGAGATAAATATTACTTGTATTTTCTCGTTCATTATCTATTAGTAAAGGATATTAAAACAAGCATTTTTACATCTATTAATATATGTATGTAAGCCAAAAGYGTYACTTACCTGTATGTAGTCCTATAASGGCATATSAAGCATRCATGCAGGAGCCATATATGTTTCTACTGCTTACTAGAGCAAAATAAGTACTGATGCATGAATAGCATATGGCAAAGTTTAAATACATTTGAGGTTATGAATGCCGAAAAATTGCTAAGTTCTTTAGACTACCTTAAATTATATATATTTTACCAGCATATCACGCTACTAAGATGCCAGTCTGCAAGCTTAAACGCCATCAAGCTCAACGACGCATCAAACAAATCTATTGAGCAAGTAAAGCAGCCAGCGTCTTGCACACAGCCACTTCCGCATAAGCCGTTTATACGTATAAAGATAGAACACAAATCAAACGAAATGTATAATTCAATTTTACTATTCACTAAGCACTTATTTTGAAATTATAACTTTCATTATAAACCAAAAAGTTTATTAATGTACAAAACTAAATTTATTTTTACATTCTTTTGATGAAATTACGAAATTTGAACAGGCGGAAATAGTGTTGCCAGATAATAATTTGATGCAATAATTATTTTGAGTTAAAATGTTATGTTTTCTTAATGYAAGAATACAAATATGACAAATAATATTTTTGTACGCTAAACAAATAATATTGTTTATGTCTAAGCAGCGTAATTTTTAGTTTAAAGTTTAAATGAATAAAAGGGTAAATATTTCCGCAAAGGTAAAGCAACACTGTTTCGGTGTAATATTTTGTGTTATGATGAACTGGTTACTGACTAAACCGGTTATTTGTTTAGCTATGTAAATGTAACTTTTGCTACACAAATTATATTATATTATWTTTACGAATTGAATTCTACTTATCTATAATAAATGATTACTCTAACACTTTAAGTAAAAAACTTATAGACAATTCTTTTGTAAGCTGTGTAAAAAGAAGTATTCGGTTWTTAATAGCTTCAGGCTGAAGTACCTCAATACCACTGAGGAATTCCACATCACTACTCCTAAAAGTTGATTTTGGATGTAGAAAAGTAAAATATTTATCATTTGACTTGAAAATGGAAGAATCTGTTGAGGAATGTGATTATTTGGTGGAGTCCAATCGTTTGGCTACTTTTAAAAATTGGCCTGTGAGTAGCTCTCGTATTTTGTGCACCGCATACATATTTATAGATAAGGAAGCGTATCATTTGTGTTGAAATACAAAATTGTGTACTATATTTAGTTTACTCATTGATGTAAATATATACATTTTCTATGTTTATTTATAATGAAGTGCGCAGTGTTTGTTGTAATGTGTATATATTTTCAATTTCAACATATACTGAATAAATATTTACGTTTTTATGCTTCTAACCTAGAATCCGAATATTTCACCGCAATCACTGGCCAAAGCAGGTTTCTACTATTTAAATCGTTCGGATCAAGTAAAATGTGCATGGTGCAAGGGTATTATAGCTATGTGGGAGGAACAAGACGATGCATTTGAGGAGCATAAACGTTTCTTTCCCAACTGCCCACGCGTGCAATTAGGTCCACTTATAGAAATGGCGAGCGATGGCCTGCGTGATTTAGGCATACAACAAATTTCTACACCGAAAAAACCAAAATTTTCCTCATTGGATTCACGACTACGCACATATGTCAATTGGCCCATACCTGATATACAGAAACCCGATGCGCTCGCACAAGCTGGGCTTTACTATCAAAATGTCGAAGATCAAGTGCGTTGTTTTCACTGTAATATGGGTTTGCGTTCATGGCAACGCGAAGATGATCCTTGGTTTGAGCATGCAAAGTGGTGAGTAGTTATATGAATATATAGGAGAAYACTCGATGAGTATATTATTTTATTGCTATAGGTTTCCTCAGTGCCAATTCGTGCGTCTCGTTAAAGGTGCGAACTATATACAGCATGTACAGGATCTGACGCGACAGTCAGGTCATCAACCTCACAACGAAATTTCCGTTGATGAAGCCATGATGACGGCACCTGTACTGCAGGCGCTCGAAATCGGTATTGATGGTGGCTCAATACGWAATGCCACACAGCGGCAATTATTGGCTTGCGGGCGTCCATATGAAACAGTAGAAGATTTAATTAAAGCGGTATTCGGTGATCCTGACGATGCTGAACCAATTGCAAATGGCCAGTGTACGGAAGGTATTAGTGCTTCATTGGCGGGCGATGTTTCACGTTTAATAAATATGTTGGATGAAGCCGGTGTGGGTAGTAATTGTGGTGAAAGTCATAATAACGCTACCAATAGTAGGACAACGTTGGATCGAAGTAATGTTGAAAATCAAGTACATGGTAGTGTGTGGAATGGACCGAGTTGTTCGGCGRCGGTAACCAATGCCTTGCAAATGAAAAACACTAGTGATAACACAGAAACAGAAGCTAAAACAGATAAAGCCGATGATGCGTGCACAAACAAAGTAGYTAGCGAACAAACTCTCAATAGAACCTTATCACTGGAAGAAGAAAATCGTAAACTGAAAGATGCACGACTGTGTAAAGTGTGTCTGGATGAAGAAGTCGGTGTGGTGTTTTTGCCATGTGGACATTTAGGTTCGTACGCTGCATTTATCAGTGAACATTTAATTGTTACAATTAATTTTTCATTTACAGTTACATGTGTACAATGCGCACCCGGCGTTGGTCAGTGCCCCATGTGTCGTGCTGACATCAAAGGTTTTGTACGCACTTACCTATCGTAAATAGCTGAACATTCTTCACTATTTATTTCCTCTCAAAATGTGTTATATTAATTTATTATACGGTAGTTGCTATTAACTTGCTTTAGTACATACATACACATACACTTATGTAAATGTTATGCTAGTTTGGAATGGTAAAATAAATATAAACAATGATTTTACAAATATATACACACATAAATATATATATACTTTATATATATCGATATATAGATAATGTTAAACACTAGTAGCTTTTTACTTATTGAACGACAAACTGAAAATTTTGTTTGTATGATAAACCTATCTACCTTGCAATAAAATCAAATCATGTATTTTATCTGTTATGTTTTTCGACTTTTAAAAAGTCAAATTGATACCAGTTCTCATAAATATCGAATGTAATTTATCGAAATATTGTGTTTTTTCTTTAGTGTAGTATTATTGTATGTGAAAAAGAAAATGGTTATGCAATAAAGAAATTATTTAAAGATTGGTTGTAAAATGCTAAGCGCCTAAATGTAGGCAACCGTCATGAAAACTCACCACARTTCTGAGTAACCAATGAGTTCTACGCGAAAAAACCGAAAGAAATTTTTTCAATTTCTTTTTTGTTTTATATTCTAATAAAAAAAACGGATCATAACAATTTGAGATTTTTTCTAAATTCATTTTGAATGCTTTTGTTTTTGGTTTTTTTTTAATTATTTTTAGTTTTTTTTAATTTTCACTTTTCAATTTTTTTTTTGTTTTTTGAAAAAATATTTTAAGAATAAACGGATCATGAGGTATTGAAATTTTTGTATATTTTTTTTTTTTTTAAGTTTTTATTGATATTTGGAAATGTTCGTTAAATTATGTAAATTTGCTTTTTATTTTTCACTTAAAAACTTTTTTATAGCATTTTTTTATTTTTAATTTTCGCTTTTCAATTTTTTTCTAAATTTTAAAATCTGTTTTTAAATTGTTTTAATTGTAACTTAAAAAAATTCTACATTAAAATAAATTTTGGTTTTTTTGCATTTTCACTTCAAAAAAATCTAGGTTAGGAGGAATTTTAATTTAAAAAATGTAAATCCACCAAAAAAGACATTTGAGAAATTTTTTTTAKCTGMTTTTCTTTTATAGAAGCAGCTAACAGCAAGCTTGCCGCATGATTACATTATGACTGTTAAATCACATCACAGCTAACAGCCAGCTTCCTGCGAGTTTATATTATGACTGTTAAATCACATCACATCGCGGCGTGAGCGCCAACTAAGCATTAGAGCCAGCTAAGAGTCAGCTTCCCGCGAGATTACATTATGACTGTTCAATCACATCACACCGCGGTGACAGCTCACCGAAGCACTGACCAGACACCGTGCTTGCCGCAAGATTACATTACGTGGCGGTTCCCAAGTCCAGTGCACAACCTTGGAGRGGGATGTTTTCCCTTCTCACTTTATCTTGATCTAAGACCGGAAGTCGTGAGCTACTTGAGTCATATGTAAAAGCATCATTTGTGGCCACTCCCAATGCTCCATCCTYCAACGTCCTTTGGACTACAGAAGCAGTTTATACACATRTAACCGTATTTGATTCCTACATACTAACTATTTTTTTCTGACCTCTACGCRCTCCTGCTCGACATTACCCTSMATCMTRCATCCGGTCTTACTATMATTYCTTTTGTTTTCCTAACTTAGYCCTAGATGACCTTCATGACGACATTTAAACKCCACAGCAGCATTACYAAACCCCAACTGTGTGACCATCATGCATCCGCTCTTACAATTATTCATCTAAGAGGCCTTTTGTTTTAGCCCAAACTCGTCGAAAGCTTTTGTTGACCGAACCTAACTTTTGATGACTTTCATGTCAACATTTAAACTACACAGCAGCATTACCAGGTCAAAACTATAATTGTATGAAWAAATTTTTGAAATACCCGCAGACAGCACTCTACCGTTTGTGGGGTATAAAGCTAGCTCTAGCTCTAGCGATCACATGCGCATGCTAATGAAAGCGAAGAGAACACAACACATAAGCACACACGCACGAACATGAGGCGCATGAAGAGAACATTATGAAAATGCAATTGGTATCTGAGAGCCCAAACGTTTGTCTCTTGATATCTCATCAGTTTGGCGACTATGCGCCTTCACGTTCGTTTGCGTTGCTTTAGTTTGGAATCTTCACTCGYTAAAAGAGCACATACTCGTGGTAATAGCGTAAAAGATCGGTACGACGGTCGGTCGGTTGGTCGGTCCAGTGTCTGTGCAAGTACATACATATAGTAGACATACAAACGTGCATATATACAGATTTTATGTACCTAAGTACATATGTACATATGATTTGTACCACAATTTCTCCAAAGTTTACAAAGTGAGCAAAAATTCTTGTTTTTTTTTCTATTTTCTTCAACAAATATCTACTAATGAATATATTTAAAGTAGTAGAGATAAAAACGTTGAGTAAACCAATTAGTGCTGAAAGAAGGGGGCGCAAGTGAGAGCGGGGGAGGAGAGTGAAACCAGAATCGTGCAAAAGACAAAACAATTCGAAATTCGGCATTCAGATGTTCTTGGTAATATGGTTGCTTAATGAAAACCACCATGTATCTGAGTAGCTGAAAGTGATGCAGTTGTATGTGTGTGTGTGTGTACGTGCGACCGTGTGTTTGTGTGTGTAGTGGTGGTGATATTGTGTGAGTACATCTTCAGTGCAAGCAGAGCATCGAAAGCGGCTAATGATGTACATATAAATTTATGTATCTTTGCATGTATGTATGTATATAAGTATGTTTGCATATGAGTTTACAATGTACATGTGTATTAAGTAGCCGAGTGATAGCGAAGATAGTTGCAATTTACTCAGCGCACACAAATATGCAAATACAACAATACATACATACYTACATAGATATGTACCAACATATGTGTGTATATGTACGTACGTATGTTTGTATGTACACATGCAGTTCTTAGCCGTCTGCTTTCATTGGATTATATGCAGCAGTGTATGTTTGTAAGGTTGAAAAGCACTCGTTGCCTTATCCATACGCAAAATAGGTCGGTGTTCCAAGTAGGTTTTTCACTTAACGATCGCTTATCTTAAACATAAATAGTTTTCCACTGCAAATGTGGTCACTTCTACAGCCAACATCGCTCAAAGCAGACTTAACTGAAACTTATTCGTTGTTGTAGTGACGCACAAATATTCCCTAAACAAAATTTTTTTAATGCTATTGACTTGACAAGACGAGTAGAGGAGAAGACTGCAGGAAATGTCTAGAGCAAGGCACCAGTGAAACAAGGGAGCATCTCTTGTATACTTGTTCCGCATTGACAAGACTACGCTGTAAGCAACTGATCTTCCTAAGGTATAATACACTGGCGGAGGTAACGTTAGTGAGGCCGCAGGGTCTGTTGATGACRATGACTACTTCTCTTGGATTCAGCAACTGAACTCCATCTGGTATCGCTAATGACCAAACTGGTCTATGCGTGGCTTATTGGCATAATAAGCATTTCACAAATAACTTCCTATTGGCATACCAAATTAACCTAACCTAACCTATGGAGTTGACAGTTATTGTATGGGCAGAAATACAAAGCATTCCGATATTCGTAACAGCTTAAATGAAATGAAACTTCGTGATATTTACTAAATTTGGCCTAAAGAGATTGAAGTATGCACTGTTCCTGCCCGACGTGGATGAATATTCAAGAGAATCTTTCTATTGATGTTGTTGTTGTAGCGGTTATCTAWTACCCACTTAGGTGGTAAGATTCGAGTTGGTTTTCCACGGACTCATCTAACGGTAGGCCTTAGGAAACGTGCTGTTTCGACGGTTTCAGATCCTTGGGAGAAGGGTATTAGARACGTGGGATCGCTGAGCATGCAAGCAGGTGGTTAGAGTGCATGCGGGAACTCATTGCCCCCTAAAGGTACATATAAAATATGCATTTATTTTGTCAGGGTTGATTCTGTATAAGTAGGAGTTTAACCTGCCGCAGTATCCAGAACGAACAGCGAACAGCGAAGAGGAAGAACGTTGTCTACGTTAATAAAGAAAAAGAAGAATATCTAGAACAAATTTGCCCAAGGCTCACTCTAGCTTCTCGAAGTCTTCGTCTGCAAAGGGTGATGGTTTAACTTCTAAATATGTCATGTAATCGTGTTTTTTTGTATTTCTACACATTGAAAGCTTCTTCGTCTACGTTTCACTACACCCTGTCGACCACATATGTTGTTTATRATATAACCGATCGGCTGATTGCCCTATTGCTAACAAGGTTTCCTTGCTTTTTCTCCAATGAGCTGCCAAAACTGTCGGCTCTATCTCCAGATTTTATCCATTCAAAGGCTGTTATTCCGATGATCTAACGCGTTTTGGCTCGCCAAGTTTTTAAAATCCTTTCTATCGAGCTCTCTTAAGGGTTAAGTTAATAGCAATTGAATTAGTAGAAGACCTATCAAATCTATTGGCAATATATTTTGTCAAATTTTCCATCAGATCGATATACTGATATACTTTATAAGGTCTCCGACGATTAATTTCCAAGTCCATGGATCTCTGTACGGTTTATGATTCTTCTGAGAAGCATTACATAGCAAAGGCATTCCTTTACCTACCAAAGAGCTAACACTATTAGAAGTGTTGTGCTTTTTGTAAGTCGATTGGACTTAGAAATCCTGTTGGCTTACACATTCAGAGTTCAGTTTGAGCTGACGTCCTTATGACGGCCGTGTATGGTTCGGTTAATCCTCCGTCCCCACGGYATTCGGGTCTAAGTAACTGAAACGGACCCGGAAGTTTATACGGCCAAGGACTGTCACCATGGCCTAGACACTACTATGGAAATGTTTTCTGTCGCTACAACAACAACATTTGGCTAAGCTTTGGAGCGAATTTGAAAAGCACTAATTGTAGAATTTAGCCAATTTTCCAATTAAGAAGTCTTGGAAAGTGCTGAAGAAGATTGTTGGAAAGAAGTTGTTAAAGGATCGATAAATTACGAAAAACCCCAACTGCACAACCCTGTTTATTTTCAAGTGAAAAAATCGCCATTATTAAATTATACTTGGTTATTTTAAATTACAAATCTAATTGACTTTCTAACTAAAAATAGTGTTACACATGTACATATTCCTACGAGTGTGTTTGTATGGCTTTATATATCGCAAAGTGTTCGCCAAAGCATTTAATTTAATAAAAAGTCACTATTGATGAACAGCAAAATTGTGTGTTGCCCAGCGATAGTGATGACATACCATTGCTTGTTGTTGTTGTGATTGTTTTTATACCCTGAACATTGTAAACTATGTTTCCAAGAACTTTATGATACACGAAAGTATCTCTATAAAGTATATGATATGTATATAAATGATCAGCTTGATGAGTTGACTCGATGACTCTGTCGACCAACTCCGTCTCTCGGTCTGTATATACGCGAACTAGTGTCTCAGTTTCTGAGATAACGAACCAGAAAATTGACATATGTTCTTTACTCCTAAGAAGCTGCTCATATGTCAAAACTGACGTTATCGGATCACTATAGCATATAGCTG